CAGCGCTCCATGAAGATGTCAGGACATTCCACTGCCAACATATCTGCACTTCAGCCCAGTGTGCAGAAACACTCCGCTCAGCTTCCAGGAGGAGAAGCAGCCCGAGTGGACACACACACACACACACACACACACACACACTCTGCTCCTGCTGACACTGAACAACACTTCAGTAGGAAGCAGCACTGAGGGAATCAGAACCATTTGACTGAACACAATATGTAATCCATCTCTGTCTGGCACACACACACACACACACACACACACACACACACACACACACACACTAATCTGGGGGTTTCCATCATTACAGATGTGACAAACTCACTCATGGAGAGTTGATGTGTTTTATTAAGATGTGTTCAGTGTACATCAGTCAGAGATACAGCTTCAGTACACAATAACACACACACACACACACACACACACACACACACACACGACACATCAGTCACACGTCCAGTGAGCTCCTCCAGATATCTCTGATCAATCCTCAGTGTCCGTCAGTGTCCACAGCTCTCACACACACACTGCACCACCTGAGGAATACACACACACACACACATTCAGATTAAAAACAGGACATCTGCATGTCTGACACACACACACACGCACGCACGCACGCACGCACGCACGCACGCACACACACACACACACACACACACACACACACACACACACAGGGTTCATACTGAAGCTGCAGAAACTGTCCTAAACACACGTCAGCACTGAGCCCCTCCCCCAGAGGATCATCAGCCTATAGCCATCACTGATTGGCTCCTGTACTAGAAGGCGGAGCTTCATCCACCATACTGAGCAATGCACGTTCCCCATTCAGAACTGCAGGAGCGGCGCGTCTCGTGGTTGTGTGTGTGAGGTGTGACAGTGTGTGAGTGTGTGACAGGGAGACGTGCGCTCTGACACTGCTCAGCTCAGCTGCAGTGTAGAGCGCTCTCACAGCCGTCCCCGTGTGCCTCATCTGCTCCTTCTGCAGTTTGGGCTCATGAACACCGTGTGTGTGTGTGTGTGTGTGTGTGTGTGTGTGTGTGTGTGTGTGTGTGTGTGTGTGTGTGATGGCCAGATAAGTGTTCGCCACAGGCAGCAGACATGTGTGTGTGTGTGTGTGTGTGTGTGTGTGTGTGTGTGTGTGATGGGCAGATAAGCACTTGCCGCGGGCAGCAGACGGGTATTTGTGTGTGTGTGTGTGTGTGTGTATGTGTGTGTGAGGGCAGGTTTGGGCTGGTTGTGCGGTGTGTGTGTGTGTGTGCAGCTCCAGGCCTGAGCAGAACGTGACTCTCTGCATCTCCCGCTCGTCTCCACGGCAATCGCCAGTAACATCAGTGATGTCATCGGTGATGTCATGACGACGGATGTGTGTGTTTGTGTGAGCGTTGCCGAAAACAGAGGTGAGGTCACCTGCCGGAGGAACGGGTCTTTACAGCGCAGTGCATTCTGGGTCGCCTGATTCTCTAGTTGGCATCTAGTGATGGTCGGGTCATGTCAAACACTCTCATCATGTCTGATTCTGACTGAGATTCTGCTTATCGATATTGATTATTATTGATTATCAGTTTCTAATGCGATGTAAAGCAGATGGTGTGGTTCATGTGCTGTTCACACCAGTGTTCAGGCTCATCCATCTGACACATGACTGAAGCAGTGCTCATCATTCAGCAAACACACGCTTCACAACAGCTCCAAACACACGAGCTGAAGAGCTGCTCTCTGC